AAAAAAAAAAAAAAAAACGAGTAATTGCTTTAGCTGAGGGTTTGTTTTGGAAACTCTAAATACAGGAGATGATTTACAGCTATTAAACTAAACAAGTCACTCACTCGTGTGTTGGTCTCGTTAAATTTATGGTAAATGAGTCGAACTCGAGCTTGTTTAGTTTTAATGTAGTTTTTTGTAGAAATTCGAATTAGATTCATTAATATTGATAAACGAGTCAAGCTCGAATAAATAAAAAACAAGATTACGAGGCGAATAAAGCGGAAAAAGAAAAGAATTGTATACAAATAGAACAATGAAGTAATAGATTTGTATAATATGCTTGTTTGGAACCTAATTACACTTTGATAATATTAGCGTATCTATCAAAAGGAGTATCATTAAATCTAACACAAAGATTATGCCTGAATATTTATCATTATTAGCACCTTTTAATGTGCTTTAACCCTTTGTCTCCTTTACTCTGTTTACAAGGCAAGTTCAATGTTTTTGGCGATATGGAATCTTATAGATAAATCAAGTTTTATAATAAAATTTAAAAAAAAAAAAAAAAACTTGATGTTACACTCTCTAATTGTTAGTTTTATGATATTTGAGATCAATGTGATGACATTTGTTGATATTTTTTTTACTGTCTAATCATTAGGCATTATGTGAGATGTATGGAAGTTAGATATGATTTTCCAAAACTATTGGTCTTAATAATGTATGAAACTTTCATAAAATCATAAAACATCGGGAAATGCTACGGTCCCATTACGGAACCATTCTGTCGGGGTTTGTAACCGTTGGATCATCATGTAACCGTCAATGATAATTGATCTAACATTCCAAACCCCGACATAATTGTTCCATAACGGGACCGTAGCATCTCTCCATCAACATTACAAAATATCTGAGTGACCAAGAGCTTATTTTAAATAAAGATATAAGGAATATCAAAATAAGTGATTATTATTATCCAAGTTTTATCCAGATGCACAGTATTAACCGGCACTTATTTTAACTTGAATGAAGCCAAAGAAAAATAATAATATAAAAATAATAATAAAAAAAAAATATATATATATATATATATATATATATATGTATTAGTCTTCAGCTACTGATTGTGTTGTCTATGTTGGAAATAAATTATTTTATTATAATTTATGGTGTGGAGTGTGGACGGTTGGACCAGTGAAAAAATGGTGTGGAAGAAGTAAATCTTACCGGAGGAGGAGTGGTGGACCACCTCGGATTCTCGTCTGACATCAGTCAGCCCTTTGCGTGTACATAAACATAAACACTAATTCTAAAAAGGCAAAATTGCATATTAATACACCACCTTTCACGGTTTTGCAATTTAATCACCACCTTTGTAATTTAGCAATTTAATACACAACTTTGACTATTTTTTGCAATTCGAAGCATAGGGCCGAATTTCGGGCTTTTTTGTGCTAATGTGACAGTTTACGGCTGACGTGGCATTCAGTGTGTCAATGACATGGCTTTTTTGCTGACAGAGCGTCCTACATGTTAATTGGAATAAAAAAAAATGTTGGTCAAGAGATTCAAACCTTAAACCTCAAGGTTGTATTGAAGCTCCACAACCACCACACCAATCTAACTTAGTTGATAAATTTGGTCGCGTTTTATATATATAGGCATTACATGTGAATAAATAAAAGTAATAAAATATATTAAATGATAATATATTAAATTTAAATAAATTAAATATATTATATTAAATTAAATAAATCTAATTAATAAAATAAATTAAATTTACATGATAATGCAAATTATATTAAATTAAATTAATAAAATATAAATTCTAATAATTAAATTATAAAAAATAAATAAAAAATAATAAAAATATTAAAATAAAAAATTAATAAATTAAATTATAAAAAATAAATAAATAAATAATAAAAAATAAATATAAAAAATAAATAAAAATAATAATAAAAAAATTAATATAAAATGTATTGTAGTTATATAAAAAAATAATAAAAAAATTAATATAAAAATTATTATTTTTTTTATTTTTTTCTTTTTTTTTTATTATTTTTAATATCATAGAGATTCCTCTTGCACGATATTTTGTGCTACAAGTGTGTTTGAAGTTTGAATTCAGACAAAAAATAATAAAATATAAATAAAAAATAATAAAGCATTTATTTAATATATTAAATTTATTTAAATTTAATATATTATCATTTAATATATTTTATTAATTTTATTTATTCACAGGTAATGTCTATATATATAAAACGCGGCCAAATTTATTAACTAAGTTGGATTGGTGTGGTGGTTGTGGAACTACAATACAACCTCAAGGTTTAAGGTTCAAATCTCTTTTATTCTAATTAACATGCAGGATGCTCTGTCAGCAAAAAAAGTCATGTCATTGGCACACTGAATGCCACGTCAGCCGTAAATTGCCACATTAGCACAAAAAAGTCCAAAATTCGGCCCTATGCTTCGAATTGCAAAAAATAGTCAACGTTGTGTATTAAATTGCTAAATTGCAAAGATGGTGATTAAATTGCAAAACCGTGAAAGATGGTGTATTAATATGCAATTTTGCCTTCTAAAAAACCACATTTATTAAAAAAAAAATAATAAAAATAATACGTGAATTCAATATATACTAGTTGTTACCTGTGCATTTGTACGGAAAATTGTATGATAAAAAATAAAATAATAAAAAATATAAACAATAGTAAAAATTATAACATAATTATTGACAAAAAAAAGTTTTAAGAAAGAAAATTCAAATATAATTAAACACTTCTTTATATACAATGTCCATAATTTTTCGAAGCCCAATCTGATTTCTTGAAGTATCCCAATAAAAAAAATTTAGTAAGAGAATATTTTAAATAAGCCACAACCCATTATTTTTCTTATAACTTAAGCTCAAACATTCACATCCCATTGTTTATTAACAAAGCCCAGACAAAATCAAACAATAAATTCTTTTTCGGGCCACAAATGGGTCAAATAAAGTTGATTTCGTTTGAATCCAAGTAGTATCAAGGCTGATGTTTTTTTTTTTATCGGGCCACATTAAACATAATCCAAATGCATGGACCCATATAGCACGGTCAAAGTTTCATCCACCACACAAATGTAGAACATTCAACAAAGTGGTAGAGACAAGTATTTAATGCCTAAAACCCTACCACCTGCAACACTTTCGTCGTTTTTTTCTTCATTTGTAATCTTTTTTTTATTTATCGGAGACAAATACTTGGATCGATTCTGATTTTGTTTAGCCGTTGTAGACATGCTTTTAATTTATACATGCCTTACATCATGAAAAACAAATTTCAGCCCAGTAGTTACTTCTTTGTTTGTCGAAAATTTCTTTGACTAAAATCGAATCTATCGCAATATTGTAGTTTTTTTCTTGTTCTTAGCCAAGAAAATCATATTATCAAATTGCACTGCCATTTGGAACTCAAAATAAATATGTTGTGTCGAAATAATTTTTTCGGTGACTGATTATGAGTGTGGAATGCAAAGTGAAAATATGTCTGATTTTTATTTTATTTATAAGAACCTACATAAGTCTATTAACTAATTAGTGTAAATACCAACAAATCAAGAGCATGATTAGTTGAAAATATTTTGATAACTGAAAAAAATATGAACTATATAATAGTGGCGCATTTGATATGATTTTTGAAACTGGAATTTATGTTCCGCCAACTAAAGATTTTATTTTTAGAGTCAAAATTTATGTTGTTGTTTGTATTTATTAATTAGACATGTGCTTCTATCATATAAAAATTATTATGTTTTCTTAAGTTATTTTTATCAATCAAAATCAATTGAGATTTAAATTGTATTTTAACCATGCAACGTTTATATTAGTAACATGAATAAAATAATTTATATATTTGTAGCATATATTAAGAAAATTAACATAAAAAAAAAAAAATTATTGGTGTTTCTGATTTTTAGAAAAAAAAAAAAATATATATGTGCCAATCATGCACAGATGTACATATAATATTATAAGTAATATTTGAGAATTTAATATTAAAATTTTAGATAATGAACATATTACATTTTCAAAAATTTGATCATTAGAAAAAAAAAACGATTTTATTATTATGAAAAATTGTATATTACCATTAGATACTAACTGTTTAATTCTTATTATTATTATTATTATTATTATTATTATTATTATTACTATTATTAAAACAATTGTTTATAAGATTTTAAAGTTGTCTGACTATGCTATTAAAATAATTTACTAATTGTTTTTAAGGAAATTTTTCCATGAAATACAAAAAAAAAAAGATAATATTGATGTTAAAATAAATAACTTAAAACAATTGTTCTTAATTATGTAATTTATATTTATTGTGAATTATTATTAGTTGGTATTAGCAATAACTATTATATAATATAATAGAAAAATACATGATTATACTCATTATGATGTATTAATGTGAGAAATAAAAAATATTAATAATAATTTTTGTAACCGAAAATGGAGGGAAAATGTTAGAGGTTTTATTAAATAGGTAAAATTAAATGCTATATGCTAGCAATTATATATA